CTCGTCATTGAACAAGTCTCACTTCTCTCTCTCTCTAAATTCTCTCTCTCTCTCTCTCTCTCTCTCTCTAAATTTTAAATTCGGTGTATGTAGGTGTGTATGTGCGAGCATCCCATGTGACGGGATCTCAAGTGTCTCCTGGGATGGTGCCTTATATATGAGACTAATAACACTTGCTATACGTCTTTGATCTATTTTTTTATGTTTAAAAAAAATGGATCATTTTTTATGTTTAAAAAAATGGATCGGCCGGTTTGATCGTCCACCTTAAATTCGAGTCTGGACTGGCTAGATATAGTTTGGATTGTTTAATTTGGTTATCTAATTTTTTTAAAAAATAAATCAAATAAAATCAAAATTATAATAAAAGTTTATGGGGTCAGGATTTAACAATGGTGCAAAAAAAAATTAAATAAACTTAAAAAAAATAAAAATAAGGTTTTACTGTGACCTGTGGGGTTTTAAAACATTCTGTCTCCATGATTCTTGAGAGAGAAAGTGTGTGTTGTCGTTGTTAGAGATAGAGACGATAACGAGTGAATTGCATATCTTATTGCTTCTGGTTGGTAGAGAGCGATGATAACGATTGAATTGCGCATCGTATTGGTTCTGGATTTAACTTCCTCATTCAAGTAAGTGGAGAAGTCATCAACGATTTCTATCTTGGAGAATTCCTTGTCTCCCTTGATTTTTGTGTGTGCCAGCTAAATATTCTGCCTCTCTCTTTCAAATTTGAGAAAATATATTTTTTGGAAAATGTTTTTTTATAGGCTTGCAACCCTATCTATCAAAATAAGTAAAACCCCACCTCAAAACTCACCAAAAATTATAGCTTTGGTGTCGAAAGACCTTCAGATCCATCATCTCGGCCTTCATTGTTTAGTTGTGAAAAATGAATTAGGATTTCAAGATCTAAAAATAGTGTGTTTTGAAACACGTTGTCTAGACCGCCCATTTCGCCCTAAAAATTATTGTTCATGGATCCACAAGATCCATACAATCTTTTTAACTATAATTTTTATAGGGGAAAAGTTTATATAGAGTAGAGGCTCTAAATAATCACATTAGAGCCTACCTCAAAAATTTCACTTGAAGATGTTGTTTTGATGCCCAAATATCCTCAAATTGAACATCTCGACATCAAGATTCATTGACATGAAAAACAAAAAAGAAAAAGTTGATTTTAATTATTTTTAGAATTTAAAAATTTATAATTAGATTTGAAAATAGATTTTGAGATAATTTTTTAAAAATATTTTACATCAAAATTATATGTTATGATAAAATTTGAAGACGCGCTTCAAATAGATTGTTTAAGGTTGCAACGTTATGGAAACTACACCCTATATTTTAAAGCTATCACAAACATTTTTAATATTGAAACTATATTTTTCGATACTATTTGAAGGTAGGTTCGTATTTGATCGTTTAGTTTATACGAACCGCACCTTTTTTATCGTGAACGTTTGAAAATTGATTTTAGAACTATTATGGAAATTTCTAACGCCGGAATTGGTTTTCATAGGAAGAATCAAACTTAGGCTTTACTGAAACTGGATTCTACATCCAATGGGGTGAGAGAACGCTACGTTAATGTAGAGAGAGAGAGAGAATGGGGTGTGTGTACACGTCAGTTAGAAAGCAACTCCACGCGGTTTGCCACATCAGATTTATCAGTACGAATTCAAATAAATTCCCTTCGGGCCTTTTTCCTTGAAATATTCCCCCGCGAAGGTACGGCTAGCCGACATGTGGCTTGGCCCTAAAAGGTAACAAGGCCCGGTGGGCCAAGTCCGTGTCGGTATGGTCCAAGTTTGACCGGACTTATGTTTTTTGGCTTATTGTTTTCCTTTGGCTTATTTTTTTCTTTTTTGGCTGATGGTTTTCTTTTGGTTTATTTTTAGGGTGTGGTTTGCATAACGTTACAACCCTAAACATTCCGATTAAGGCGTACCTCTAAATTTTGTTGTAAATATAATTTTGATATAAAATGTGGGATTGTATATAATGAGACTATTTTTTTTGGATACAAGGCGGTCATAATTCTTTACAATCAATTGATGTAAAATTTGATAGTTTGGATGTGTCACAGAGTTCGATAAAATTTTTTTTTGCAGTTTGAGCTTGGTCAATAGAATAATTGTAACTACCCAATTTCATATCCAGTGGTTGAGATTAATGTGACCACTTTGTATAAAAGGTAAATGGTCTCATTTTATATTTTTTCATAAAAAATTCTTAAGATGGCTTGAAAATCTAATTTGATATCTAATTATAAAATTTTAAACTCTAAAAATAGTTCAAATCAAGTAAATCTACAAACATATGAAAATCTTGAAAATAGAGGGTCCAGATAATATGTTGCAAGTTACACTATTTCGTAGAGTCAAAATCTTTACTTTTTTTCTTATTATTTATACATCTTATTGTCGAAATGATCCATTAGAGATTTTCCATCATCCAAACAATTTTTTATGATGGATATTTTAGGTACACTATTAATTCTATATTTTAAGGTTGCAACCTTGTACAAATTTCTTTTTTATTTTATTATATTTGAGCCAGCTTAGCCCTGTCAAAAACCTCTTGGCCGCTACTGGGGCTGCCCTATAGGGACTAGGGTTGGGCTAGAGCAATAGCTACCGAGGCCAGTTGCCACCCCTACTCTCTTCTTGACCTGTCAGCCTCTTGTAATTTTGATGATGAAGATAAAGAGGTCCTTTTTTTTTAACTTGGTGGGGGTTTATAGGATTTCATAGACCAGCTATTTGGGATTGTGATTTTAAAGTGAGAGATATATATCCTTTCCCCCTCCTCCAAACAAAAAAAAGAAAAAAAATGAGGGTGTGATTTCTATAAGGTTGTAACCTTAAACAATCCAAATAAGGCGAACCTCCAAATTTTATTATAATATGTAAACCTCCAAATTTTATTATAACAAGTAATTTTTGTGTAAAAAATTCTTAGGATTATTATCTATTTTCATATCTAATTATAAAATTTTAAAACTTCAAAATGGTTAAAATCAAGTGGACCTATAAACGTATGAAAGTCTTGAAAATGGATGGTCTAGATAATGTATTGGAAGATGCACTATTTCTGAGACTCGAAATCTTTTCTTTTCATATTTATACATCTCGTTATCAAGATGATCAATTAGACGGTTTGTCAACATTAAAACAACCATTTCCGATGGATTTTTGAGGTGCATATTTAATTCTACATTTAAAGTGGCAACCTTATATGAACTTTTTCCAAAAAAAGGTAGGAAAAAAAGTTATAGAAAAGTATACAATGGAATTATTTATCTTTGAGACAAGGTGGTCACAATTAATTTTGATCATTGGATGTAAAATTGGGTGGCTACATTTATTGCATTGACCAAGCTCAAAGTTCAAAAGAAATTTTTTCGAACTTTGTAACACATTCAAGCTATAAAATTTCATATTGGATGGTTACAAGTAATTGTGGCCTCCATGTATACAAAATTAGGGAAAGTATATAATGAGACCATTTACCTTTGGTACAAAGTGGTCACAAATAATCTCGACTATTTGATGTGAAATTGGATGGCCACATTTATTTCATTAACCAAGCTCAAAGTTCAAAACAATTTTTTTTCGAACTTTGTGACACACGCAAGCTATCCAATTTCACATGTGATAGTTGTAAGTAATTGTGACCTCAAAAGTAAATAGTTTCATTGTATAAAATTCCAAAAAATAAATGGTCTCATTACATAAAGGCACTATTTATCTTTCGTACATAAAGGTCACAATCATTCCCACTCATTAAATATCAAATTGATAGCTTGGGGTGAATTACGATTTTTGAAACGTTGTTTCTATTCAATGACACTCTTACTATCACCTATTTTGAAATTTAAGATACAAGAATGATTGTGACTTCTATGTACAAATGATAAATAATCTCTTTGTAGACAATTTCATATATAATCACAAAAGTTATAAAGGGTTTACTTGACATTGTAACAATGCTCAGTGACATGTTATATATTGTCACTTGACAGTAGGGGTGGCAACGGATTTGACCAGACCCGAGATCCGATCTCAAGTTCGCGTATGGGTCCAAATTTTGGACTTGAATACTATTTGGGTCTGGCTCTAACTGGACCCGACACATACGTGCAATCATAGGGTATATGATGACAATCATGTGTCTTTATGCACATGCTAAGTATTAATATTGTTACAATATTTACAATATTATTGGCAAAAGAAGAAGAAGAAGCTCGTCGTCATATGGCATATATATAAGGGTACAGTTTGCATACAGATACATATGTAGGTGTAGAGGTAAGATGCACCTTCAAAATTTATCATGGTATATAATTTTGATGTAAAATGCTCTTAGGAATATCTCAAAATCTATTTTTATATGTAATTATAAAATTTTAAATTTAAAAAATGGCTAAAATCAAGTAGATCTATAAACATATGAAAATCTTGATAATGGACGGTGTAGATAATATGTTGTAAAATGAAATATTTTTTAGACTTGAAATCTTTTTATTTTTCATAGTCATACATCTTAAAGTCGAGATGATCAATCAAATGATTTTTCAACATTAAAACTACCTTTTTCGATGGATTTTTGAAGGGCATCCGTAGCTCTACATCATAAGGTAGTATCCTTATATAAATTTTTTTCAATATATAATAATAAAAAAAATACAAAAATATAAATAAATAAGCGTATAGTCATAGGATGCAATGGATCCAACTAAATCGAGACCCAACATGTAGGCTCGAGACCTAACAGGTGTAGGCTCGAGACCCAACAGGTCTGAGTATGGGTTTAAATTTTAAACCCGAAAACGATTCGGATATGAGCCCCACTCGGAGCAGACCCGTTGCCACCCCGAATTGAAAGGTACTTTCATAAGTTTAGTAGGGCTACTCCACTTCTTGCCGCCAATCAACTTTATAGCAGCTTTGGAGACTTCTGATTGTTTACTTCCCAGGAAAAGTTCTGACGTGGAAACTTCTCAGGAAAAGTTGTGACCTAAGCAGATGGTGAGAGTATTGACCTAGAGAGAGAAAGAAAGAAGAGAGAGAACCCAGAGCTTCGTAAGCTTCGGACACACAAAACTTTTCAAATTCTAGAGTTCGCGGTGTATCCAAAGGGAATCCGAAACTTGATTCCCCCATTATTTTAAGCCCTTAACCTGCAGAGCTCTCTGCACGAAAAACTAGGTTTTAACGGAGAGCTTCGGTCAGAAGTGTGAGCTTTGTGGAGGTCAAGCTTTTTGATAGGTAATTCTAATGAAAATTGAAAACCAGTCATTGAGCTTCGAGATAGAGCTGATTTTCAGTAGCATTGATATTTGAGTGATCTTGGGGTTTGAGTTCTATGAAGTTTTTTCTCTCTGACGTGGGTTTATGAGGTATTGAAGTGAGATAGCTTGATCTGAGTTAATGGCCTGAGATGATCTAAGGTTTGAAGATTGAAAAATTCAAGGTCTCAGCAAGTCTTGGAGCTGGAGAAATAGTTCCTAGCTATCAAAATCAGTCGAAGCTCTGGTCTATAGAAATTCAAGGTCTGTGTAAGTCTAATTGAACTATTCAAGGATCCAGTTGTGGAAACATTAAAAGCTTCAGAAGTTTTGTGAAAGTCTGCAATTTCAAGGTAACAGTTTCAGGAATATTCAGTGATGTAGTTCAATTGTCACGTTGTAGAAAGGTTACTGAAAGTAATTGAATTATTATTATTTATTACGTTAATTTTGTGTGAAAACGTATATGATTCCTTGGTCTGAATCATTTTGATTCTAGATCGTATATAGCTTGTGGGAAATGTAAGATTTTTAGGACCCAGTTATATGACACAGGAATAAAACATGGAGGTTTGATTTAGTGGTGGTATAAAGCACGAACGTTGTGAGTTTTCAACAATATCAGAAAGCTGAAGGATACAATGTTGTCAAAATTGTTGGGGAATTTAGTTAACCGGTTTCAAAAAAAAAAAAATGTTGGGGAATTTCATCCAATTGAAAGCTCAAATAAGACGACTTGAAAACAGCTCATGTTTTAAATTAAAAGATGAGATTTTGAATTTTAAAGTGAAAATGAGTATTAAAAAAGAAAGGAGTTTGTTTGAGGAAATGGAGGCAAAATAAGAATTTAGGTGGAACTTAATTATGAAATCACCAAAGTGAAACAGGCATAGAATTTGAAGGAAGTTATCAGAAACAAGGATTGGATTTTCAAGAAAACTCAAAAGTCTGGTTTGCCTTTTCCCTCCCATATTTCTTAATTTGTAATGTCCTTTTAATTCACCATGGTTTTAGATTTGGTAAATTTTGTTAGAAATTTGAACCTAACCAACATGGGGCTTAGGGTCCAATTCCATATGCTACCTATTTGTCAAAAAATAATAATAACAAATTAAAAGGCGCCAAAGTTTGAAGTTTTGCTAATTTTACTTCTTGTTTATTTATTTATTCCTTATTTTATTTCAAAAACTGCAGACCAGCCAACCATCGAACTGAGATCCAGAATTATGTTCCCAGCCTGCAATCAATATGATGTTAAAACCTGAAATATTACACCTCGGTTCCTGTTGAAACAATTTCTAGTTCTTTTCTTTTTTCTTTTTTCTTTTAACCTATAGGAGTATGAGGATCAATATTACATCAGTTCTGTATGATCTATTTTATTATTGTTTGTGTGTGTTTTGAGTGATCTCTTACTTATAGATATTGGGCTTTTCTTGTGCTTAGGTTTCTTTTGAGTAGCACGCCTTGCGCTATTGTGCTAGAATTGATTTCTCGTAATGACTACTGTTAACTGCTTTGAGATTATAAACTTAGGTCAACATATGATTGACCCATCTGATCATATTCACTTTCATGGTTTTGTGAACAGCTAGTATTGAAAAATTTAAAGCCAATGACATTCTGAAATCACAACCAAGAAAAAATGCCTTTTGTGTGAAGGAATTCGGTTTCTACTTGAGATGCCATGGCCCTAGAAACAGCTATTCCTGTTGTCCAGCGACCAGAAAGGCTCTTAGAGATACCTAATAGAAATTTAATGGAGAGCGTGGGAGAGATTGTGCCCGAACCACAGCCTGTTTCTGAAGAGGAAGTATATGTTGCAGTTGGGAAAGAGAGAAAAGAGAGCCTAAAAACGCTGCAGTGGACCATACAGATGTTCAGGAATAAAAAGATAATACTTCTGCATGTTCATCAGCCTTCTCAAATGATACCGACTCCAAGTAAAATCTTGACTCATGCGACGTCTGTCTATTCCATTCAGGAGAATAAGATCTTAAGCAGCAAAATGAGTATTGGAAACTAGCTTTATTTTATGTATATGCTAAATACTCTAGGCACTGGACACAAATGTATGCATACATCAATCGGTGAACTAGTTTATGACAAATATTAAGATGAGTGCTAAATACATCTGCACATCAGTTTTTCATATATAATCATAAGGTTGTATAACATGTATGTATATAGATGTACCAGTTGGATTCCTTTTAAGGCCAATGATTCTTAAATTCAACATACTATTGTGCATAATATTCAAGGAGAAACAGACTGTATATTCTCATAAGAGTCAACTTTGTAGAGAAGTAAGCCATTTTGGGGTCCAGAAAACTATCCCTGTTGATGATAAAATTGTTATACAGATATGCTCTGGAGAAAATTTTCCCTGAAAATAATCAGATGAGATAGAAAAGATGCCATTTATTTAAGCAGCTTGGATGCCATTCACATATTTTTGTTTTTCTGTTGGGATGATAGGTACCTAAATTTAGGATAAAAGATAAAAAATCAAGCAACTATTTACATCAGCAATGAAATAAAGCATCAAGAAAATGAAAATTATGCAGATAGTCCCATATAGTTTCCAAAACATTATTTACTTCAGTTAATGTAGGAGAGGGTTTTGTAGCATGTTTTTGATGGTTGTTTGTCTTGCAGTGGGGAACTTTCCTGCAAATAAAGTGAAGCCTATTGAGGTGAAGGCTCACAGGAATAAAGAACAAGAAGATGTGAAGAAATTGATGAATGATTATCTTGCACTCTTCTCTACAGCAGAGGTATGAATGTTTGTTAGTATATTGTTCTTTTGACATCTGCTAGAAGCATCATTGGTCTATATGAATTTATGGAGGGGTCTCCAGTGGCATGAGTTCAAATAATTGGTTTATTGCATTGTAGATATAAAGGATGAGTGTGGCTTATGATACAATTAACAGTTCTGCTCTATCTTGTTCTTTTATGTAACATTTGACTCTTACCATAGGCTTACCATGTCATGTGGCTTTACAAATTTTCAGGTGCATGTAGACAAACGGGTCAAAGAAGCAGATGACATTCAGAAAGGGATTGTGCAAGCAGTAGCTCAATATGAAATACAAAAACTCATCATGGGTGCAGCTGCAGACAACTGCTACTCAAGGTGTGATCCTTCAGATCCCATATTAAATTAAAAGTTCTGTCATCATCTTACAAAGCTATAAAATTGCCTAATTTTCACATAATCTTGAGAATGATGACCCTGGAATATTTGCATTTTAAATTTACAGGGCTTGACTGCCCTTGCCTCTGAATGGAGCTCTTTATCACAGTCTTTTTTTGTGTTGGAATCCCAAGTTACCCTTTCTATAAAAGAATATCTGACATTGATGCTAAATCTGCCATGTTCTATTTTCTAAACGATGTACAGAAACTTTGGAAAACTAAAAGAAGAAAATGAAGGGGGATACATTTCAACTCTTAAGTTTCATGTCAATCAAGAAGCTTGGATGCCCATTACAATAAAAGGAGCTCCCAATATCAAAGTGCTGCTTCCTACTCAATAAAAGATTGGCATATGAGTTGAATCCATAGCGCAAACTTTTGACTACATATTTGGCCAGGCGATGTGACACTTATCATGAAAAGGGCCTCGATTTTTAGTGAAAAGTAGTCCTAGATTTGAGATTGAGTATGTGGTCATACTTTATCTTAACTCATCATTGAAGAAGAACAAGAAAAGAAACATTCGGGATTTCTGGACATCTTTTACTTCTTTGAATTTGTGTTCACTTTTTGCTAGAAAGTTTTTGTGGTTTGTCTTGGTAATAAGGGGCCATACACAGGCATTCTAGGAGACCGCCCATCCTTTTGCTACTCCTGCACATTGCACTTGACTTTGGATTTCTTATATGAGATCTGGTTCACTATTGCTTGGGAGCTACACTGTAACCATGCTTCATGGCTAGGAATGCTTTGTTTAAGTATTTTATTTTATCTTCTGTTCATTTTACAGATAATTAAATCATTTTGGAGTTCTAATGGGAACTGATGTTTTGGCGCTGGCATTGTATATCTAACTAGTGAAAAATGGGAATGCAGGAAAATGAATGCTGTAACCTCAAAAAAGGCAGCTCATGTTAAGAAGCATGCCCCGCTCTCTTGCATGATATTTTTCATTTGCAAGGGGAGCCTTATATGCACCAGGGAACCTTGTGCTGAACAACCCAGTATGTGGATGAATTCACCATCACCGACCCTCACTCCATCTACAAGTCCAGTTATATCAAGACAAAGTAGTACTGGGTCAGTTAGGGAATCCATGAACATGCGGAATCTTCTTAGCCCCTGGTTTAGGCGTAGATCAAAATCAGAGCACTTGAATATTGATGTAGAAGAAAGCCAATCATCTTTGGGTGGTGAAACCGTATCGGGCATGGGTTCTATCGATGGGGAGGCAGAAATTCAACCTGATTTGTCAGGTACCGTGGAAAGTAGAAATGGGGCTAATAGTGAGGAGTTTGCAAGTTGTGTCTCATTTTATCCAGACCCCATTGAAGAACCAGTTCTAGATTCTGTGGAGGAGAATGATGAGGAGGGGTCTTTGTCTATTTGTCCTACAGATGGAACAGTAAGCCCTATAGCCTCTGTTACCCCCCACAAGAAAAAAGCTGCAAATGCAAGAGAAAGAATGGGGCCCTTCAATTCTTTTTTTTGAACTTTACGAGAGTCTTCAATTATTTTTAGCCTCTGTTCATTCTTCTTTTTTGAGAGAGAGAGAGAGACTGCGGCTGGGATTCTCAAGGAAGTATCCAGATCATCTATAATGTGTACTGGATAGTTTTGAAGTGTGCATCCATAGATTATCTGCTTTCTTTCAATTAGAAATAGCTTTGTAATCCAAGAAATTAGACTTTCTTGCTCATGGTTCTTGCAGGATGATGTCATGCAATCTTTGCATGATCAATTAAGAAGATCTATGGAAGAATCCAAGAATCTAAAGAGGGAAGCACTCAATGAGTCAGTCAGGTGTCGACAAGCCGAGCATGTTGCTTTAGAGGCACGATGCAAAGTAACTCTCTCTCTCTCCCTCCTCTCTCTCTCTCTCTCTCTCTCTAGTTTTTGGTAACAACTGAGAATAATGTACAATACATAGTTTTATTCTTAGGATTACGAAACCGGGATTTGTCATTCGAGCTTTTGTGTTGGTTTCACTCTGCCAATTATACAAAGTAATTTATTTAATATTGACTTAGAAATATACCAATACAAAGCCAAGAACCATAATTATAAATATCAGCCAAATTTCAATGAGTTGGAGTCACATCCCTGCGGCAACAATTTGGGGCTAATGACCAAAATCCATATATCGGCCAACCATAGAAGAAGCCTTTGGGCAAAAGAAAACATACCAGAAAAGGAGAATAACATTAACAAAAGCCAAAAATACAAAAAGAATAACTTAAGGTAAGCAACTAGAAAGGAAAGCTCAATTTGAATTCTTATCTGACTATTATATTTCCCTGCCAGGCTAAAATCTTAGAAACAAAGTATGAGGGAGAACTGAAACTAAGAATCGAGCTTGACGAAGTCCTAAACAGAGAAAGACACAAACTGGAAGACCTTGCAAACCAGAGGGACAAATTCTCAAAGGAAGTGCAGGAAATTTGCAAGGAAAAAGATGCCCTTACCTGTCGCATAGCAGAGTTGGATCAGCTTGTTCATGATCTCACAGAGAAGCTAAGAGAAGCAGAGGAGTCCTTGAGCAGGGTCTCAAGAGAAAATGTTGAGATACAAAGGCAAAGGGAAGATGTGCTTCATCAACTTGAGCAATATCAGAAGAGAGAAGGGCACTCAAGTGGGCAAGAGAGTTTCTGTGAGTTCTCAGTAATGGAGCTCAATATTGCAACGAGAAACTTTGATGGCAGACTAAAAATTGGGCAGGGTGGTTATGGGACAGTGTATAAGGGGCGGCTTCGTCACACTGATGTCGCGATAAAGGTGTTGGATTCTGGTAGCTTGCAAGGCCAGTCGGAGTTCCAACAAGAGGTAATTACAATTTTCGAAACAAAATATTTTCCGATCTATTATCATTTTATTGTTATTTTCAATTTCTGGAAATAAAAAATACACCATAATCGATGCTATGGGCTACATGGTACAACATAGGGGCATCCATAATCTATCCTTAACGATGTGAAAATGGAGATTAACCATAGTGTGGTCCACAGGGACATTCAGTGAGGATCAGTTAAACTCCATGGCCTGTCCTTGGGAATGGACTGTGGATCCTCCTTTGTTGTGTATATATTCTGCAAACCACTGGTGGATGGTATGCTTTCCCATTAGAAATTGGTTGCTCGAGTCGTTGTGTGTAGATGTTGCAAAACATGCAGTGATTGAAAGGAAGTTACGCTGAGAGGAGAAGACTTGCATGTTTGAAGCATGGGGTGAAGTTTTGGAGAGTTGCATACCCAAAAAAATTGAATATTCTTTTTGAACTTTTGTTGGATTTTGATGTCTAAAAGTGATGGGTGCTATGCTATTTGCTGCATTACATTGACCATGCAACTTCCAATTACAACATTCACTTGTATAGCTTGACAGACACACATACTTTCTTGAAACGTTTTTTTCTTAACTCCCACCTCGAAGGTGAAATGGACTAACCTCAATTACTATGATCCTGCAATATGCCTTTTCATACTTCTTTCCTCCCTTAGGTGAATGTCTTAAGCAGGGTTCGACACCCGAACCTCGTGACCCTCATTGGTGCATGCTCAGAGAATTCATGCCTCATCTATGAGTTCCTCCCAAATGGAAACCTTGAGGAACGGCTTTGCCGGAGGAATGACTCCCCCGCCCTTTCCTTCCAAGCCCGTATCCGCATCGCCTCTGAAGTGTGCTCTGCTCTTCTCTTCCTCCACTCTGCCACCCCCCATTCCATAGTCCATGGTGACCTAAAGCCATCTAATATTCTCCTCTCCACTAATGATTCTGCAAAGATTGGGGACTTTGGGATATGCCGCCTTCTAGAAGATTCCGGAGGTACCCTATGTTGGAGGACTGATCCAAAAGGAACCTTCCCTTACGTGGACCCTGAGTTTCTAGCCACTGGGGACCTCACCCACATGTCGGATGTATATTCTTTTGGGGTCATACTCTTGCAGCTTCTTACAGGACGATCAGCTCTAGGTATAATACGGGATATGCATAGGGCTCTTGAGAATGGGTGCTTGACAGAGATTTTAGATCCTACAGCTGGAAGCTGGCCGTTTGTTCAAGCGAACCAACTTGCTCATTTGGCGTTGAGATGTTGTGAGATGAACCGGAGGTCGAGGCCTGACTTGGGGTCAGAGATTGTGAGGACAGTGGAGTTGCTGAGGGCGACAACGGATGGGACTGTGGTGGCAGGGCAGCCTGTGGGATACCCTGACAAACATGGACAGGTTCCAACGTATTTCCTTTGCCCCATTTTTCAAGTAAGTGGCAATAAATACCTCCAAGCCTCATTATTTTTTCTTTGTTTTACTATGGGCACGTTATTTCATTGGTTTAATAGAGCAGAAGTCATTGGTAAAAGGCAAGGTCATTTGTTAGTTGTGTTAAATAGAACCGAAATCATTGGTAATGGACAAGATCATTTGTTAGTTGTTAGTGAGCAGTAAAGTCTTGTATATGTGCTGTCACACACTGTGTTGATGGTCATGCTCAACAATATTCAACTAATAGATTTGTACAACACCAGTTGTCAGACAAGAGCAGATGGCCGGGATGTGACATTCATCAGATTAGAATCTGTGAGACAATGGCTTGGAGTCCAAATTTCTAGTGAAATTTGAGCAGAATGACACACCCCAGCCATTCCTCGTTGAGATTTGATGGTTGGGATGGTGCAAGTTCCCTATAGACACTATGCTCATTGAATACATGTCCTTAGCTAATTCATTATTTGTGTCAATAAGTTGCCTATACCACCAAGTAATGTAATAAATTATTACCCCGAGTTTTACCATTCAGGAGAAAAAAATATACCCATAGTAAATCACTTTTTGCCTGTGTTATGGAGTAGCAGCTTGCCCGCCATAACAAGGTGGGGTGGCACCTGTGTGCGTGTGTGTGTGTTTTTGTGCAGAGTAAACGCTTTACCGAACATTTTAGTACGTGATACTATGCACTGCCCCTGCAATGTGATTTCTATGATTACAATTGCATTGTTGCTTTTCTTGGGTGTGCAGGAAATTATGAATGATCCTCATGTGGCAGCAGATGGTTTCACATATGAGGGTGAGGCATTGCGAGGGTGGTTCGAAAGTGATCATGACACGTCCCCCATGACCAATCTCAAGCTCCCTCATCTCAACCTCATTCCTAACCGTGCCCTTCGCTCTGCAATCCAAGAGTGGGTCCAAAATTGAATATGCATATTCCTTGTATATGATATGCTCATAACTCTTATCTATACTGTATTTATAAATGCATGCATGTACATGACTATGTGCAGAGATAAATATGTATCCAACCACATATTTATGTACAATCTAGTCAATATACAACATGAGACATGCATGTATTTGTTTATGATTTTGTATGTGTGTATTCTATCCAGGCCTACATATTCCTTCTTGTTTGGCTTCGAGATCTCTTGACATAGCCTCTACGGAGGCCTGTATGTATTTGATTATCTATTTATTCATTTGTTTATATAAACATTTTTTTGCTCTTATTAATTGGTGGATTGTTTTTCCTTTAAAGATCCAGCAGTGATTCCCATCCACTTGAGCTATGGGATTGAACCTTTAATACCCATTTTTCTCTAACCCCACAAAATACCCTATCTTTTCCCAACTCTCGGGCCATCTGATGAGGCTAGGGATTTGTATGTGGATCATCGTCATGGTTCTAGTAATCAAAAGAGGGATAATTACGGAGGCGACATTGAACTATCAACACATGAGAGGGAGCAATTGGCTTTAAAGGAGATCAAGTCCATAAAAGCTATATAACTTTTGTCCTATCCTAGCAGAGTGTTTTTGTTGTTGTTTCCACTGCATTCATACTCTTACAGGGTCTAACATTGACATTCGAACATCTCAAGCCTCTTGGGTTTGTTTACCATGCTTTGCTCACTGCATAGTTTTTGTTTGTCCCTACTGCATTGATAGGCTAGGTGGTTTGGGGAATCATGGGGCACGATCATGTGTTAGGGGCACAAAACGATCTTGGCGCGTTGGGTTCGTTATGTGCTGTGTGCCGGAAAGTGCACTTGAGCAGGGTGCAAAACGCTCTTGGTGTGCTAGGCACTCGCTTGACCCAAGTGGGTTCTGTGATGTGCACCAAAAAATGTTGAGCAAGGTGTATAGTGCTCTTGGCATGGTAGGCACTCGCTTGGCCCATAGTTGTCCTGTGCCATGTGCAGTTAAGTGCAAAAACACTCATGGGCGTGCTAGACCCTCCCTAGACCTGTGTTGGTCACACATTGTACATTTGGCGGTGCATTTGAGCATTGTTGGATGCGGCATGAATCGATGCTTTCCACGCACTCTGGACTATGTGGTCTCTCGGGGCTATCCTGCAGTCATCTTGCAGACCACCAGATTGCATTGGACTCTGGCACTATATGCACTTTGGACTGCATGGTCCCTCACGGTGGTCCTACGACCTCCATGTAGACCCACGGGTTCATAGAGACTGTGTGGTCTAGTGCACAAAAACAAAAGTTTATATAGGGACGCTATCTTATAATGTAAAACTACAGATGCCTCTAAAAAATCCATCGGAAAAG